GTGGAGGAGCACCGGGGGGCGGGGGGAGTGAGCGAGTGCCTGGGGGAGGGGGCTTGGGCGCTCGGCTCTCGTCCGGACCCCCGAGGCGCAGGAAAGGGCCCGATCGAGGGGCAACGCCGCCCTTGCCTCTTCCTGCCCAGCGAAGCCTTTCCCTTCCGTAGGTCCCTCTTGTGCAAGACAGGCCGCCCCTTAGTGGGAAGTCCCCGCTTGGCGCTCTCCCGAGGCGAGGGTTCGCATCCAGCCCCCCCACCTTCGAGACACGCTTTGCGCGGCTCTGTTCCCGTCCTGATGACCGTTTCCCTCCAGGGAATCGTGGTCTCGACGTTAGCTTGCCTCTCCTTCCAGTTCCGGGCAGTCTCGCCTCTCGTGCTTCTATTTCTCTCCTTCTCCTCTTTGCTAAAGCCGAGGGGACCTTACCGTTTCCTATTTCAAAGGATCTTGTGTCGGAAAGAGTCGGTTTCTTTTTCATCTTCCCCGCCTTCCGGAAACTAATCGTTTGGCAGATACGTACAAGGCTAGAAATGATCTGTTCAGGATTAGATAAAAGGGGGCCGTTTACGGTGCTCGGCTTTCTGAAGTGTGTATAGGTCTGATCTGTGGTTGCCCGGCGCTGTTTAAAGCTGTAGCGAATGCCTCGTTGAATTGCAAACCAAACTGAAACCTGTTTGGGATGAATGGCTGTGTCGATAATTCCTTGTAGCGCTATTCCATCTCTTGCCTCTTCTTTCCAGTAAGTGCACATGGTTATTTTAATGTAGGTTGTGTTGCCTTGAACCACTCTGTTGTGGTCACCTTACCACAGCCGTCCACTTTGGGAAAAAAAACTTTTCCAGTAAAAAGCTTTACATTGCCACACTACCAATACAGTAGGTAATTTAAAAATACATGCATCTCTCTCCAAGTAGGTGCTTTCCCTCCATCCCCCTTTAGGGATATTAGTAAAAAAGCCTACTTGGGGTTGGGTTCTATTCCTGATGACTTCATGGACATGGTTTTCTTGGCAGCAATATGGAAGTTGTTGGTTACTGCTCTTTTCCAGGATTTTTTTTTTTTAACTTCCCAGTCTAACTTGCAGCCCTGTGATGTCCTGGTGGTCCCCCATTCAAGCATTAACCATATCCCTGTTATTTTTATTTTTTTTAATCAGCAAAGGACAGCTAGGTGCTGGCATCTGAGCAGGGCAGACATAAAATACTTAACTGCCTGACTGCTGGATTAAACTATTGTGGAGAGAATTATAGATATCAACAGTTATTGCATACCTATTGTGAACAGTTAGTGGATTAGAGTGGGAAGAGATGGGATTTCTCACCCTCTCAGTGAAAGTGATATGGGGAAAAGGATGAACTTTTGAATGAAGCACTCCATTGAGTCCCACTTTGCCTCTAAATGTTTTTATTGTGGCATAAACTGGTCTTCCCAATCTGGTAACCTCAGGATTTGTTGGGACTACAAATTTAGGCCAAGCTGGTTGGCATAAGCTTTCATGGATGGAAAGCTTCATTTAAGAAGTTTTTTAAAAATACACCATATGTTGTTCAGCCTACTCGTTGTCAGTTTCTCTGCCATCAATTCTTAAATGTTTCCTAACTTTCTAAATGTGATCATGAAATACAGTAAATTTATCAGTCATCAAGCATCTTACACTGCACATCTCTTGATAAGAATTTGCCCTATGTCTGTCAGTATCTCTTGCAAGCAGTATCAATTCTTAAATGTTTCCTAACTTTCTAAATATGGTGATGAAATGCAGTAAATTATCAGTCATCAAACATCCTTTACTGCATATCTCTTGATAAGAATTTGCCTTATACCTATCGGTATCTTTTACAAGCAGCATTTTTCTTTATCTAAACTAATGAATGAGAGTCAGTTTGTGTAGCGATTAAGGCACCAGGCTAGAAACCAGGAGACAGGGAGTTCTAGTCCTGCCTTAGGCATGAAGCCAGCTGGGTGACCTTGGGCCACTCACCCTCCCTCAGCCCTAGGAAGGAAACAAGGGCAAACCACCTCCGAAATGTTGCCAAGAAAACTGCAGGGACTTGTCCAGGCAGTTGCCAGGAGGCAAGACTGACTGGAAGGCAAAAAAAAAAAAGTTAATGATTAAGAGAGTGTACGTTTATATTGGTTGTCACACATAACAAAATGGTAATGGCCAGACTGTAAGTTAAGAGTGCAAGAAAAATTTTGGTTCTTGAATTTTTGCCTTTGTTTAGAAACTTGTATTTGTTTCAGAAACTTTTTTCTAAAAAAAAAAAAGGATCATAGCAATAGGGCAGATCTTATATCCTTAGTTTCAATGGGAGAAGGTTAAAAACAGCCTCATTTACTGAATTTTCCAGTAGTTCGTATCAGTTGGAAGGATGATGCATGTATTGATTCATTGATTCTAAATTTCAGTGTTCTTGAGAAGTACATTAGCTATTTTAGTACCTGCGACAGTAAGTGACGCTCAGCTTCCCTGTTAATATGGTTCCATGGTGACTCCTAATTATTTCTGGAACACTATGAAGTTTTCTCACCCAGCTCACTGCAGAGCGTAGCTCACATCAACTGCAACAGGGCCTGTACATAAGAACTTGTGCTGATTCTGTGTGGCCAGCAGACTTCAGGTGGAAAATGTCATACTATCTTCAGGATCTGCAAAGGTCCCTCAAATTCAGAAAAGGTGAAAATAGAGGAAAGAGTATCACGTATATTTTGAGTACCACCTGTAAGGGCAGAGAAGGTCAAAGATCAAATGCAACAAGTTGCTTAGTTGAAGGAGGTTTATGGATATATCCTCTGTGTTTCCATTTGTATTACACCCTCTAACATACACTCTCTTAACTTTTGTTCTGGCTAGGGCAAACGTGCGTTTATTACAGGAATGTGATCTTTCCTCCTAAGAACATTTATGTTGCTTTCTGAATGCAACATATGCCTTGAAATGATCCACTTCCTGGAGTGACAAGAAGGCCAAACAGGCTGGGAGAGGCTGTCACGTAGGGTGCTAAATTTTCTCAACCTTTTCTTGGTTTAAAAAAATTAATGTGATATTAAGCTTTATTGGGCTGATCATGATGAAGGTCAGTACTTTGATAGTGCTGTTTTGAAAGCCCTAAGTATATATATAGCAAAAAGTAAAGGAACAAAAAAAAAAAAACCCACCGTAAAGAGGGTCAATTGGACATGGAAAAGAGAAGTGTCCAGAGTGGACTTAATATTGATTTAATAGTGCATCTACATATATTTCCCAAGATAGACTATAGATTGTCCATAAAGGAGTACTTAAAATATTGAGATGAAAGATTCTCAAAGCATAC